TTTTAAAGAGCGTGTCTTACAAATAATCGTTACATAACATATAGTGAAACGTTGTTATTATCGCTTTAGATATCATTTATTATCTCTGCGCTATCATCTGCTATAAGATAGCACTAATACTAGTATGTCTCACAAAGTTCACAGTATTCTTCAATGCTTTAAAAATATTCTTATGCACATATTATATACATTATATATTATGCTTTCATGCATTCGATCGATTCCAAAGAACAAAGAGCTATGAGAATGAAAATTAAAGTGAACAATTAAAATAAATCACATCACATCACAAAAAATCAAATCCGAGTTTTCAAATGGTTATTATACATGCCGCTTATTTATAATATCTACCAAAATGTACTTCGTTAAAATCAATTTCCACAACTCCCGTAACTTCCACAATCGGTATAATTCCCGCATCCTCCTCCACATCTGCCACCGGAACGTACCGGAATGTAGGGTATCGGGATACAACCTGCTGAGCTTTCGTATCTTCCATAGCTGCCAAACCCTCCAAACCCTCCGCCATAACGCCCACTTCCCAATAAAGCAAGAATCACAAAGGGGAGAATATCGTCAAGGTCGTTGTCATTATCCTCATAATAATCTTGACTATACCCGGGGATGTATTGAGTTTTAGCCCAGTGACACTGAAAAATACAAATATAAATACAAAATCTCGTTGAGACATTTTTAATATGGAGGAATTGCTGTTCGCCAGACGCCTTTCCAGCTTCTTTAGGCCAAGCACGGGCTTAGCCAGGATGGAATTAGGTAACTATAAAGCCCGAATAGACCAGAAAAATATTTAAATGTATAATTTTCTGCTTTGATTTGTTTGTTTTATTTTGTAATAACATCGCACTCTCCAAGATAAAAGCGAAGAATAATCCTATGCCTTTGAGTATAGTAATATAGTTTTTTGCTTTTTTCTTACCTATGCTGATTGCCTTGAGAGGCTATTTCAGCTTCTCCTTGACGTGTTGATGAGCTCACGGAGCTCAAACCGGAGTGTTGCTAACACTGGCCCTAGCAAGAGCGGTGCTTCGCAAAATTTACCATCGGATCGGAAAGGCGACCCGCTGAGAAGATCCGGCGAGAAACTCAGCGGGCTGTGTCTATGGGTTAATTTACTCGTCGAGCCCTTCGTCACAAGCGACGGGTTCGACGAGGACAGTGACCGGTGCTTGTGGTACCTAAATGCACCGTTAATGGATCGGGAGGATGACGTGTTTAGGGCGACGTCGACTGTTTACCATTCGGTCTACAGGATTGGGTATGTAATTCTCAGCGGCCACGATAAGAGAGTTTTCGTGTCGTGCCGCCTTCTCAAAGTGGAGCAATGATGCCAACTGTAAATACTTACTGACTGAGTCAAATTCCAGGTCATCATGGAGATCCACATTCCTTAGGAATCATGGTGCTCCGACGGCTATCCTGCAAAATCGGGATTTAATGACTTGAAGGGGTTTCAAGTTGGTGCGGGTCGCGTGAGCGAACACTACACTTGCATAGGTCATGACGGGGCGTATGCAAGTTGAGTATAGTCGACGTGTTGCTATTTATATAACCTAAATTTACGTCCTGACCTTAGGCTTTAAATTGTCTTCGAAATCTAAAAAACATTGATTTGTCAATGAAAGTAAGGTAATTTCAATTTTCCAATGTATGAATTACTGTAAATAATTATAGAAAAAACTTTCTGCTTCTAGATTAAGTTTTAACTTACATTTAAGAGGAGCGTCACAGCGGTAAACACGACGAATTTTATAGAAGCCATCTTTTTTGATATAATATGTACTTATATTTCGAATACCGTGTGCTTTTATACCTCCAGAATCGCCTAGATTTGTTATAAAGGACATTTTTAACAGCATTATTAATGAAGATAATGCTTGGTTCCGCAAACGAATAGAGCACGTAGTTGATAATTGAACACAAAAGAAATATTTGCTTATTGGTCGAATACCTTTTGTTTACAACGATAGCTTTGGACTAGATACAAATTGTTATCAAACAATGGAACAATAGAGATCATACAACTGGTATTTAAACAAAAATGCTTTAATTGTATCTAAAATGATAATTTTTTTGTCGTTGTTTTGTTTATTATTTTTTAAAAAACAAAGGACGTCAAAATCTATCTCCCTGTGCTATGAATGTCTTCAAATGAGTTTAAAATCTCAATCTGTGATAAAATCATCATTAAAGGGACTCGAGGGTAGTTAGTTTTCTTTATCTATGTTTTGAGATCTAACTTATATTACTTTTAAACTAATTAATATTTAGAGGAATATTACGTGGGTATGTATTATCCGATAAAACTCATTGGCCTTACGAGTTACTGAGTGGCATTAGAGCAGCAGACGAGATTGTGCTTTGAGAATATCAAATACTGGCCGATAATCCAGAACTCAAATATCATAAGCTTTTTTTATGTAACTTAGATAGTTGGATGAGCTGACGACCTACCTGATGTTAAGTGGGTACCATAGACATCAACAACATAAATGCCGCCACCCATCTTCAAAAATGAGTTCCAAGGTCTCAATTTTTGCAGTATAACGGCTGCCCCATCCTTCTATCCGAAACACATTACTGCTTCACGACAGTAATAGGTACAATGATGGTAATAACCCGCGAGGACTCACAAGACGTCCTGCTACCAGTAAATATTAATTTTAATTTTAGTAAATATCAACATTAATGGATTATTAGTTCGGAGTTGATAGGAGAATAATTTGCCTGTATGTTATGCTTCCAAATAACTAACAACAACAGAAGGATCGTACCGACGGGGACATACTATGTTTATGGGCAGGATGAGGAGCAGGGGCAGTGAAACACTAGTATGACTTCATAGCTACTATTTACACACTTGCTTTGTGACCCTTTTTCACACAAGTCTCAATTCAAACGGTATAAGCTTGAAAATTTCAACCGAAATATTGCGCACTAATGCGGTAAGAATTATTATTTTCGGACCATATTAATGGGTAATAAATGGTAATAATTAAATTCGTCGCAAAAGGAGTTTGGTGTGAGTTTTACTTTAGAAGAGTGTGAGTGCAGAGAAGACGTATATAGGCCTAAATTGAAAAAGAGGACACGCTGCGCCGACCCCACATAGTGGGATGAAGGGAAGAAGAATAAGAATGGACTTCTTGACCCAACGGTATCTTGGTTCGGTAGTTGAGCCAATTTACAAGAGGTGGCAGAAGAGAAATGTCTATCCTTTGCGGATTGATACGCCACCGCCAAACAGTGGGCAGACACAAAGCAGAGTTTATTCGCCTACTGTTGTCCTATTTGACGCTTATTCGAGCTTCGAAGTTTCTAAAAAAGACACGTCAACGCCTTTGCGTGGTATTGTACAGTACAAAAGCAACCAGATTGACGAGAGACCGCGTTCATGTGGAATCTGATGAAGCGTAGTTTTTGGTTAAGTGGTATTGCTTAATGGTTACCTCGCCCCCCTTATCTTACTCGATTTTGATTTGCCATAATAAAATATTACTCGGAGCAAAGTCTTTAACATAACAAAGGACATACTTTAGTGTATGTGGATATTTAGTGGATATACTTTAATGTTTTTTTTGGGGTCATCGTCACTTATTTTAGTATTATTAAGAACAATAATAATATTGTAATCAAAAACTTCGTTGGCATTTTGATTTATTTTCGTAAAAGTACAATGTTGAAATATTATTTGTTACATTATCTTTAGAAATGTAATTAAAATAAGGATCGAATGGTTTTTATTTATTTAATCCTATTTTATAATGTCGGATTGCACCAAGCTAACGTTGAAAACATTTCAATTACATTTAAGTCGTGCCCAATCTCGAATACGCAACTCCATTCTTACAAAACGCAAGTAAAATACCACAGAACTATCGACCGTTCTAATAAATTTACAAACTTGAAAATTTTATAATAATAAGAAGCAACATATTACTTTCAGTTTTAATCATCATAATCAGATATAATAATGGTTACGTGAGTATCACCATTGTTTTTACATTTATCAATAAATTTACATAAATCTCTCGTGTTTGAATATTCGAATTTACCGTCACACGAGTTACAACGGCCTGATTTTGAATGGGCCTTTTTCCCACATTTACATTTCTTACAGCAGCACCCTTTTTTGTTTGGGCACATACAAGTTGCAGAGCATGGAGTGCACGCTGTAGCCTCTGGGGACATAATAGTTTCGATTAAAGCCAGTAAGTTATCGAAACTTATGCCATCGTCACAGTCTTTGAATTCGCAGTTGTCTTCGTTTATTATAATTATAGGAGATTGACTATAAGCGCAAGGGCATCCTCCACACTTGCTCTCACACGTGGATTGGCAGTAAGGGTTGTAAGGTCCGTAGAAATACTGCTGAAGCTGATCGTAGACGCTCGGTTGTCCGTATAGAGAGCAATAAGGATAGTTGTAGACCACAATCGGCGTGCTTTGCTGACAGAAATCTTGGGTTAAAGAAGAAACGTGGTAAATGCTCGGTGCATAACTAGGATAACATCCCAAAAAACTGCATTCGCTGTACTGACTCTTAATTTGATTGCACTGGAAACGGTAATTGAATTGAATTATTTGTTCGCCTGTATGTTTTAAATCCAAATAAGATATAGCTAACCTGTATCAAAAGCAATACAAAGGGAACTGCTAGCGTTGGTCCACCGAGCATCTTGTAAAACTTATTTTGGTATGAGGTGACTTTAAGTCGACCTTTTCTTTTATATTTCTCGTGCTCTACTTTTTTTTTGTATTCTTTACTAATATTACGCAAACGTAAAACAAAAGTGATCCAAACAAATGTAGTTTTATTGAACAAGTTCTTAACAAAAACGAACTATTTCTCTGGACACAATCTCAGATTCTCTTAAAACGTATCTAATAAATACGATTAAAAACTTATTATTTATATTACATGATAAATGAAAACTTTCTCGGCTTAGTTCTATTACGCGATAAAATTTAAAAAAATGTTCCTATCTTATGATAAGATTTATTTCATCGGAACAATCGTCATCATTTGAGTGGCTTCCACGATTTCCAGGTACTTTTGCGCCATATCCCAAAGCACCGCCACCAGCTCCAATTCCGAGTCCTGCACCTAATGCTTTTCCGCCGGCTCCAAAGCCTAACAATCCTGCAATATCACCTATGGACGCGCCACCAGTAGGATTAATATACGGGAATGGAACAAGGAAAGGAAAACAATTTTGATACCCGTCACAGCCGCAACTTCCACCACAACGGCCCCCTCCTAATCCTCCTCCGTATCCTCCGCCGCAACATCCGCAGCAATTTCCGTAACCCCCAAAACCGCATCTTCGGTTTCCTAAAGCAAGTACGAGGAAAAAGAGCAGATTTGTGAAATCATCATCGTCATCGTCGCTCTCTATTACAATAGGAGGCATCCCACCAAAGGGACCCGCGAATCCGTACGGGAAATTGTTAGGTACAAATCCCGGAAATCCAGAGTTATTAGGTACTGCTGGTGCCAAACTCTGGACAGTCGGTTCAGGTTGCAGTAATGGCTTTATGATGGCCGGTATAACGAATTGAGCGACCGGTGTGAAAGAACCCACCCCTGTAGGCTGACACTGTATTGGAGATGTCAATAATGTTTGGACTGGTTGTGTGACATATCCACCGCACTGATATTTAGTCGCCGTTACCTAAAACGTATTCAAAACACTGTAAATAACACATATAAACTAATCCGAGAGATAAAATCTTGAAAGTCAAATATTCACCAACCTTAAGGAGCAGTACAGACGTTAAAAACGTTAACTGCGCGTACATTTTGGTTTGAGTCTCTATTAAAGAATAAAAAATTACTTGTTTATTTCAATATATATATATATACTGGGTGTACAAATCAAATTCGGTTACGGGGTAATCATTAATGAGGCAATTTATAAGAATTTCTGTAGTAAACACGTTCATTTTTGCAACGCGCTATCAAATTTAAACAACTTCGGGTGTATCATGTATTTTATTCATAGTATTTGTACACTTATTATTAGTATACTTTTAAGTGCTCTTCGTTCAGATAAGTAGAGGCTTATTAGGAATAACGAAATAAATTTTCTTCACAGATAATTCGTTTCGATTTATTAATTATTTGGAAAGTGACAGTATAAAATGAAAATGGTTTTTAAAATTGATAGCAAACCAATTAATTCCGTGTAAAAGAGCGGATACATAATGACATTAGTACCAGAACATTTGATTATTAACTGGAATAGGGTAGGCTATGGGTATGGTATTTCCACAGCAGCCTCCACAATCTCTATTTCCGCAACCTCCGCTACATCCATATCCGCCTAACCCGCCGAAGCCACCATCAAAGAGAAGAAGCAGGAGAATTGGCAAAAGCTGCTTCAAACCATTATTGTTTTTATTGGACCTCACTACGATCGGGTACGGTTGGCAGCCTACTGACTCCGGGCCGGAGTTACATATATACTGGGCTCGCGCTAGCAGCATCTGCTAAAAAAACTTATAATTAGTATGTTTATTAAGAAAAAATTAAAGAAATGACGTATATATTCTTTTTAATATTTACATTCACAGCAAAAACCAAACATATCCAGAGCACCGCGCCCATTTTAATATCGAACAGTGTTTGGACGCGGTTTCTTTTATACGTGTCATGTGTTCTTGCAATAAATTCGGATATTTCGTAAAATTTAGAACATTTTATCAGATTGCTTTTTAAAAAGTATGTGATAAATCGTAACGTAATCTTTTGTAACGGAATCTTTTGAAATTAATTCCATAAAAATTGCGATTATGGCCTATTATGATAATTGTGAGTGTATTTTTTTATTTTATTATTAATGTTTTTAATTTTCATGATGACGCGGTATGTGTCTTATAATTATGGCTTATGAAAAATTCAGATTATATAAAGATCTAGAATGCAAAATGATGATTAATTCTTATAACGCTGTTGCCCTAAAATTTGGTCGGAACGGTTTGTTGTCAGGGATGTCAAAAAATATTAATATACTAAATGAAAACACAAAAATGACGCCCATAGAATTCGATATTGAAAATTGAATTGAAAAGTACTAGAATATCTAAAAACTTGATCGTAACTTTTTTTTATTAAAAGCTGTGATATTAATTTTGGGATGGCAGCACTAGACTAGGGCTACGAGATCGATTACTAATAACATAAACTGTCATTACACAAACAGTCCCTTAATTTTTAGTTGGGGCTTGACTGATCGGTCGCCACGTGTTGGACTGTGAAGCGAGGGTGTAACCGCTTAAGAACCTCGTGGCCCAACATCATCCGCTGTACCGTACTCGTGGGGCGAGTTTTGGCACAACTTAATACCACCATCATATTTATTTCTGCTACAAAGCAGTCTGGTGTGAAAGGCGAAGTATTTTAATTCCATCAAAACTGACCCTGATGTAATAAAGACCGAATTCGCGTATTGAACGTCAAAGACCTTCGGTGCGCGCTTAACATCAGGCTGGCTTTAGGTTCATCTCGATTTACGCTAATATAAATCGATGAATAGTACAATTTCATTAATTTTAATATTCATTTAATTTCAATATATTTGTAATTCAATACAACATTTCAACGACCAGCTAGTAGCAGGAAGAGAAATGGTAGAATATCGTTAGAATTGTCTTTTTTTATAATAATAGGTGGCGATGGAGGATATGCCCCGTAGTTGTATGGCCCTGGGACAACATACGCGCCATTGTTTCCGTTGGCACCAGAGTAGCACGCAGCGTTTATGACCTGTAACAAAAAAAGTAAACAAATAAAGTGTCGCACAAAACCGAAAATGAATAATTCAATGTTTCGTATTAGGGAGTATTCAAAAATATCCTTCCAGTATCTTCTACTGCCAGTATAGTCTATCGGACAATTATTGGAACTTTTTTCCTACCTAATCATTGGTAGCCTAAGGGGCTATTCCAATTACTCGTGGACAGAATATTGGACCAAACAGTTCATTAATAACAAACAACCCATCTGTGATCTCATTATCTATATAATAATACGTGAAGCAAAATCTTTGTACCCTTTTACGAAAATTGTGCAGACGGAAGAGTATGAAATTTCCCACATTTATAGAGAATATAGAGAAGGAGTGCACAATGCTAATATTTTTTTAAATAATACATAAAAAATGCATTAAGCATTAAAGAAAACATTACATAACACACACTAATATGTATTTGACACACACACGCATATATACTATTTTTTTATTGATAAAGTCTGTGGTCTAGTTGAGAATAGATTAATATTGATTTCTTTAATATTATTTGTCTATAGTGTAGCCTTAGCGAAATCTGTGACTATAGAAGTAAAGTGTCTTTGACAATAGAACTATAATAATATTCAAACTTATATTTTAAATTAATAATTATTATAGTCGAATTTCGACTACCGGGCACCCACTAGTTCATATAAATATACCATTTTCTAATACGTGTGAATCTCAAATTCCTTTCCGGATGGATTGATAAATTGCACGTGTTTTTATTAAAATGTATTTTAATAATTACGAAAATAAATTCTTCGAATTTTTTCAGCGTTTCAACAGAGCGATAAAAAATGCATTTGTTATTCTTACTCCAATAAAAGCGAGAAGTGTGAAACAGGCGATCCACGTTGCGGAAGCCATCTTGTTCTTTGGATAGAACGGGTCCGATTAGTGATTTTATACTGACGCTTTATCAATTTTCCATTGTGTTTGAACCAACTCATGTTTAAATTATTAAAGATTAGACGTATCACGGTGACTAAGGGCTGATTTATTCAGTAAATTGTACGTGTTAATTGACGATAATTTAAGATTTATTTGCCTATTTTGTTTACTTTGTTCTTCTATAAACAATAAATTAAGTTATACTTATTGTTATAATAAGTGTCTTAAACGTGTTTCACGCCAAGAATAATCTCTTTTAAAAAAAGATTATACTATTTTTGTCATCTTTGTTCATAATACCATTCTACGATTCCACACATTTTTATTTTACTTTGTCAAACCTACGTGTCACCTGCAATTCATTGCTTGTTGACACATAACGTTCTTTGATATATAAATAAAGCTATTGTGAATTTCGCTGACGCTACCCTCATTGACGCTACCCTCTTAAAACACCTTCCAAAAAAGGGACTTCTGCTCATACTTGCTATCTTAAACGCATGTCTAAGATTATCCTTCTATCCAAGCCAGTGGAAAATAGCCCAAGTCATTATGATACAGAAGCCAGGAAAACCACTTCAAGATGTGACATCATATAGACCCATAAGTCTTCTTCCTGTTGTTGGAAAAATACTTGAAGGGATTGTGCTAAACAGAATGCGAGAACACCTAGCAGAAATAATACCAACCCACCAGTTCGGCTTTAGAGAAGGTCACGGCACTATCGAGCAAGTGCATCGTTTGGTTGATGTCATTGGGAGAGCGCTGGAAAACAAATTATATTGTTGCGCAGCCTTCCTAGACATTTCCCAGGCTTTTTACAGGGTTTGGCATAATGGGCTGCTTTACAAAATTAAAAAAAAGTTGCCACATTCATTTTTCCCACTACTTCAATCATACCTTGAAAATAGGTGTTTTGAAGTGAAGATCAATTCCGATACATCTAACATGTATGAAATTAATTCTGGGGTGCCTCAGGGTAGCATACTGGGACCGGTTCTTTATTTGATATTCACAGCGGATTTACCCACTCACACTTCCACTACTACTGCGACATATGCTGATGACACTGCGATTCTTTCAACACATGAAAATCAAGATGCAGCATCCGATAGGCTTCAACATCACTTAAATCTGATCGAGAAATGGCTCAGACAGTGGCGCATAAAGGTCAACACAGACAAGTCGGTTCAAGTAACCTTCACTCTCAGAAGGAAAACATGTCCTCCTGTAAAACTCTGTGACGTAGAAATCACACAATCAGATGATGCTAAATATCTGGGTATGCACCTCGACCGACGGCTCACGTGGTGCAAACATATATGGACAAAAAGGAAACAGCTGGACTGCAGACTCAGAGGCATGTACTGGCTTATTGGACGCAAATCGCAGCTTTCAGACGCCAGTAAAATGACAATTTACAAAACAATACTGAAGCCTGTATGGACATATGGCATACAGGTATGGGGCACTGCCAGTCACAGTAATATAGAAATACTAGAGCGTTTTCAGAGCAAAACAATGAGAACCATGTTCAACATTCCACCATACATAAGCAACAAATATGTAAATCTTGATTTGAATCTGAGAACAGTGAAGGAAGAAATTGAAACATACAGCAAGAATTACCAAACACGACTTGACCAACACATTAATCAGCTGGCTGCAGAGCTGCAGGGGGAGGGCAGCCTAAGATACTCTCGCCTGAAAAGGAGTAGTATACCAGACCTAGCAAAAAGATTTGCAGATATAAGATGAGAATGGTACCACTGGGGACACAACTCAGCTGACTCAACTTTTCCTGATGAAAATCTGACAACAGATTAGATTATTGTTTTTAAAGAAACAGATTGCTAAGTTGCAGGAGAGAAAAAAAAAAAAAAAAAAAATAATTATGAATTTCGGAAGAGACGTGCTGGGCGAAGAAAGAAATCATGGCTCCGGAATATCCGGGAGTGGACCGGTATCGCCTCCGTCGAACAGCTGTTCCGGCTGGCTGCAGGTAAAAACGAATATAGAAAGCTAACGGCCAACCTTCAGGATTGAGGAGGCACTGGAAGAAGAAGAATGTGAATTTGAAGTTTTCTAATAGTAGTTAGTAGATGGTATAGTTAA